CTTGTTGATTTTTATTTTCAGAAGATGTTATATTATCGTATTCAGGGTAGTCCTTGACTCCAGGACTGCCACCGCCTTTGTCGGCAGAGACAGGGGGCTTGGACAGTTGGTTGTCTGGCAGCAAATCCCTTTGTTAACCCCTTGCCGCCGGGGATGGCATGTACGTACGTGCCATGCCCACTGTGAGTCAACTTGTTTGATTGTTTTTACACATAGATGGCTACACTTGTACTAAGTCACCAATGAGCTAATTATGAGTACTGCCTGTCTCGCCCGTTCACTCTTTTCATCAATTTAGGAAAATATTTAACATTATCCTAATTTGCTGTTAAGAATAACACCATCTATATTTATAGCACTAGTAAGTATACGTTTTTTCCCCCCAATTCAAGGAAAGGTGAAATCAGAACTAGCAGAACCATCTATGAACAGACATATTTCACAAAAATAAAAAAAACGAGTACTGCATTTCCCCCATTTTTTGTTCATTTTCCCCGACGGCAATGGGTTAATTTCCTTTCACGAAAAGTATTGAGGGCAAGGGGAACTCTTTGATAAGGAATTGTGGGTCAATTTCACTTTCTACAGATTTTTTTTCTTTTCCTTTTTTATATATAGCATTTGGTGATCATTACATTGCCTTAGTTGCTTGGTTACCTCGAAATTCATAAGCCTCATTGAATAGACTTTGCACAGTAGTCCTATCACAAGAGTTATGCATTTGGTTTGGTGTAAGGGAGTGAAATGTTGTACACATTAGTTTACAATCTGAAGTGGCTTTGTTCAGAAAAGAGGGAGAGGCACGTGTGGTCTGCGCAGGTGCATAGGGGAGCATTAGGGTTAATCTCGAAAGAGAGGGAGGTAAGTGGGAGTCAGAATCACTAGTCTGTTTTACTCTGTTTTTTCTTAGCTTTGGCGCACCGCCACGGCTTACAGCCGCACGCCAGCTTTAGAGCGGTTTGTTTTCATGCCTGTCGGCGTCACCCAGCATTAAGGGGTTAATGTAGTTTATTCATTTAGGATTGTCTTCATATGTTTGTTCTTTCATGTTGGGGACTGATGATGATGATCCTGTTGTAAGCTTTTATCTCATCAGCAAATGATGAAGCTGAACATTATGAGAATATACTGTGGTTTGTTGGTGGTTTGTGATCATTGGCTGAAGCAACAAAGGCTCTGAGGCAGTGCCAGTTGCTTGACATTGTGCCACTACTTTGTTGGACATAATAGTTATTGAAATTTCACCAGCATATTGTGTGGATAAGATGTGCTTGTCATGAAGGCTTTTGTCATTTTTTGCACGAAAGACAAATCAGACACAACTAATTTCATAGCTCTGAATTAGGTAGCATTACATATTTGTTAAGAAAGGTGACTAGTTCATACAGTGTGTATATAAGGTTTTTCACTTTTCAAGTTGCAAATTTAGATTGGGTGTATTTTTCTCCTGATACTTTTTATCACAGAAAATGCTTGTTAGCCTAAAAGTATTAGTGTAGTAATAGACTCCCCTGATTTTTGTCTCCTCACAAGGTTATCTTTTACTGTTACTTCTTTTTTCTGTATTATAATACATTTTACATATATACATCTAATTATATTCCTGTTTTGATGTATACTTTGCTACAAGGTGATTCCTTCATGACTGGCTTTGGCTCTTTACATAGTATGTAACATGTCAAATAGGATTTACTTTCTGCAAGGCTAACTTTCCTTTCCCAATTCCAGGGTTAGCAGTAGTGTGTGATGACGACTCGGCGAAGGCGCGCAGGGTCTGAGTCTTACGTGGAGGAGCTGACGGTGCCTGGGGCCTCTGCTAGTGAGCATCCCCAACAGTCGCAAACTCAGCCTGCCCACCCTCAGGCGCCTTACAATCTCTTGCCACAGGTTAGTTTAGACTCTTGAGGAAGATTTGGTATGGATGTGGAAGTTGATTTGTGGATACATGCATGTGTGTATGTGGATGTTGGAGGAGAGAGAGATGAGAGAGAGAGATTTCATTAATAACTTTATGCATAATTTTACCTCATTACTTGTAGTCATACACTTAAGATTCATTATCCCATTTTAGTTATCAAATGAAAATGTCATGCCTGTCTAAAGATAGTTGCACAGTATAAAAACAATTTGATCAGTCTTCTTCTAATGTAACTGTACAGACTAATGCATTTACCTCTACTCTTACAAGAATTCAGACAAAGATGAAACAGTTCAAAGTAATGTAGATTTAGAAATTAATTATTACTATTAGTATGTTTATTATTTTTAATTATCATTGCCAAACAGCTGTGAAGATACTAACAGCTCATCCACACAAAATGCCACAGGCCACATATCTTCGAAGCATTAACTGAAGGGGCTCTGGAATGAAAATATTCAGTCTAAAAGGGTGAGATGCTGAATTAGCAAAGTGATGTAAGAAATGTGCTGCATTGGATTACATTTCATGCTTGTCTTAGACAATATATATGCTTATTTGTTGACAGTTCAAAATCAGACCGTATCAGATAGTATATATTATTATTATGGACAATGTGTTGTACTTGATATGTATTGATTTGGAGAGTTGTTAGAATTCATTTATATTAGTAGTTTTATCAATAAGGATGAAGAGGTATAATTGTGGCAGTGGCAGTGGGTAGCTTACATCATGTAGGTGCAGCACATGTACATTTACATTTCTAATAATAAATTGATGGCATAGTGGTTTCTATATGTCTGATAAGGTGTATTATGGTGTTATTTTAAAAATCTTCAATGACTTTCGTTTGTTTCTGAAAATCTCCAAGCAGTTGAAAGTCGGTATCATTGCCATGGATTGCACAATTGATAGGGAGGGAAGTAGAGGGAGGGAGAATAAATGAAAAGGAATGAGAGTGAGTGAGTGTCGCAAAATATTTTCTTTTAATGAGTTTGTGTATGTCAATATAAGGAGCCCCTTTTTTTTTTTACTCTTTTGTATCAGTTGTATATTTAAACAGTAATTATTGTGATATATAGCCATGTAAAAGCAAGGTTGAACAGTTTTTATGATTAACCAAGATTTGGTTATTTCAAAGGTTTTATTAGAGTGCAGATTCCTGTGTTCTGTTGTGTTGTAATGCCAGTGTCAGTAGACTCATTTAGCATTGCAATACAAAATAGAACATTGACTCAATTATTCTTGCAGAAAAAGCAAATATTTTGAAATTAATATGTATATTTTATAATTGTCTGTAGACATTCAATAGTTAGTTGTATTTAGATTTTGGAAAAAAGGCTCTTTTATATGCATGGTGGATATTGATTCCTCTTTCTTCTATATTCAGAATTTGAGTCTTTGACTGAAGCTTAACATTTGACAAAATCTTTGATCACACAGGTCGTCAGTCCTTGGGGAACACCAACAGCAAACGTCCCTGCCAACCAAGCTTATTATAAGAAAACAGATACTGTTAGCCCAACTGCTGTGCCTGTCTCCTCACCTTGGGCTCCAGAACTGCAGAGTGCTCCCTACAATAGTGGGGCAGCATATGGAACAACTCAGTGGAATACTAGTAGTGTAGATAATCAAGGACAGTGGAACAGTAACGGTGCTCAGTGGAACAGTGGAGGGTGGAATAACGGTGGAACACAAGCTGCAGAAGGACTGTGGAACAGTCAAAGTGCCTCATCTTGGACCAGTGGGAATTCCATTCTGACTGGTCTTGACGATTCAGATATGGCGTCTCGTGACCGCACCCAGGAGTTTGCACGAATTGTGCGATCGCAACAAGGTAGTCTATCAAATGGTGCTCTGCCCCACAAAGATGGAAAGAGAACACGTGACTTGCGTCAGTACAAAGACTTCATGCAAAGATCCAAGTAAGTGTATAAAGCAATGGCTTGTTTTCATGGCCTTATAGAGTATGAGATATCCTCTCTTCCTCCTTCTTCTCTTCCTCCTCGTCCTTCCTCCTCTTCCTCCTCCTCCTCCCCCTCCTCCTCCTCCTCCTCCTCCTCCTCCTCCTCCTCCTCCTCCTCCTCCTCCTCCTCCTCCTCCTCCCCCCCCTCTTCCTCCTCCCCCCCCCCCTCTTCCTCCTCCTCCCCCCCTCTTCCTCCTCCTCCTCCCCTCTTCCTCCTCCTCCTCCTCCTCCTCCCAGATGAAATTGTAGTTTGTTGAGAGCACTTATATGATAAAGAGCAGATTTAACCCTATGCCGCCAGGGAAATTGAATAAGAAATGGGGGAAATACTGTCCTCGTTTTTTCTATTTTTTGTGAAATGTCTCTGCACATAGATGGCTCTGCTAGTGCTTAGCCACAAAGGAGTCAATTGGTAGACCTTGTGACTTTAACTGATTTGAATTGGTGGGAAAAATTTATTTTTTACTGGTGCTATGAATATCAATGGTGTTATTTTTATTTGAAACATTTTAATTACTATAATGTTATGAACATTAGTAACAGCAAAATAAGATAAGATTCATAGATCAAAAAAAAGGGTAAATGGGCGAGACAGGCAGTACTCGTAATTGGCTCATTGGTGACTTAGTGCAAGTGTAGCTATCTATGAGTAAAAACAATTAAACAATTAAACTCACAGTGGGCATGGCATACACATACACATTACACTGGGTTAAATGCTCAGACTTTATTCACACTAGATTAGTATAAAGAATAGATAGTGAATGTTGTAATGAACAATTATGAGAATAAACACTCCATGGTTTATTTTGTAAGTAGAAAGCATCAGGGAAGCTCTTTAAATACAGTATTAAAGATATTTGTCATTATGTGCTGAGCAATATACAGTATATTAGTGCTCTTCAGTACTATAATCCAACTTTCAGAGTTCTTGTTTAGTAGACAAAAAACATGTTATCGTCATAACATATTATATTTGAAAAAAATAGAGCAAATGTAGATTAAGATTTTGTTTTTTTTATTTTTTCCCCCCAGGTTGATTCACAGAAATATATCCAGCACATGGGCAAAATTGGAAAAGTTAACTCACTGTAAGTATTGTGTAATCTATTTTTATTCTTTTGTTGTATAATAGTATCAAATCTTTGTATCATATCCTCTTTGCACTGATAATAGGCCTTATGTATGGGTCTTTACATGTCATCCTTTTTTCCCCAGTGGCAAGAAAAAGATCTCTGTTCGATGACAGCCACGACCGAGAGATTCAGGAGTTGACAGGCATCATCCGCCATGACTTGTCTTCCCTGACCAAGCAGCTGGGAGACCTTCGCAACCGATCCCATGTCTCGGTATCCGGGAACAATACTGCTCACATACAGAAACACTCCTCCAATATTGTGGGATCACTCCAGACCAAGGTGGCTCTTATAACACAGAAATTTAAGGATGTCTTGGAGGTTCGAACTGAGGTATGTCATGCAATGTCATCAGGAGTGTGTATTATATCATATAGTTTCTTTTATGTTATTTATATTGAGTACAGTTAGGAACTCTTGCTTTTCTTTGAAAGTTTTATTCAGTTTTTTCTTGATTATGATTCTCTATTTAGTCAACATCTTTAAGCTTTTTTAACATGTTTGCAAAGTGGATATGTATTAATACTTTAGCCCTTATTTTAGTGTCTTCAGTGCTCTAAGGAACCTGATTTTCTCAACAGAACTTAAAGAAACAGGCAGAACGGCGAGAGCAATTCACAGGTGGCGCTGTCAGTAGTGAGTTACCTCCAGGTGCTGTAGCAGGACACCATCAAGGTTCTGTGTTGTTAGCAGATGAAGCGGCTGCATCAGCTTACAGCAATGGTGAAGTGTCCATTAATTTAGGGCAAGGAGGTGCTTACCATCAACAGTTGCAACTGATGGAAGAACAAGATACATATTTACAAAACCGGGCTGATACAATGCGTACGATTGAATCAACTATTGTAGAACTAGGCCAGATGTTTACACAGCTGGCAACTATGGTCAAAGAGCAAGAGGAATTGGTTCATCGGTAAGTATTTAGTGATTTATATAAGCAAAGAAATTTGTCTCTGGATTTATAGGAAAGTCATTTTTATACTTGCACAATGAGGCAAAAGAAATAAATGCACAGATATATGTGTGTGTCTTTGGAGTTCATATGTAGCCAATATGTAGTTACTGTGTGACACTTGTTCAGTTTTTTTTTTTTTTTTTTTTTTTTTTTTTTTTTTTTTTTTTTTTTACTCCATAGGACTTTGTTTTGATATACCAATAACAAAATTAGTGTATTTCTTCAGTTTTGAAACATTTAAAATCTCCAAAACTCACCATTGCAACTTTCTCTTTCAACAGAATTGATGCCAACGTAGAAGATGCAGAATTAAATGTTGAAGCAGCCCATTCCGAACTTCTTAAGTATTTTAAGTCAGTTTCATCTAATAGAATGCTGATGATTAAAGTGTTTGGTATAATGATTGTTTTCTTTGTTATTTTTGTTGTTTTTATGGCATAGAATATATGTGATATTAGTATTGTTTATATTGTGAGAGTATGGAATCTTGTTAACACCATAATAGAAAGGTATCCAATAGCTTTGTAAAATATATATTATTATAATAATGAGTAATGGAAATTATTGCCAGTACTTTTAGAAAGTAAAATTCTCCTCCACTTACAATTGTAAGTACCAAAAAGTACTGATGACTGCAGCTCATACAGGATCAGCAGCGCCTCAAGTGGTACTTGTCCAAAACATAGTTCAGAAAGAAAGTATTGCTAGATATTACCACTAGGTTGGTACTTGAGGTTTCAGCATTATTACTTGGAATGAGCGCTGATATGAATTCCACCCGTAATTTTGGAGTCATTTTCATAACAGTTGTTTAATTGGTACTATGTTGTGAGTTCATAAGTAGAGGACAGTTCTGCAATCAAATATTACAGGCAGTAGTTTCCAGCTCGGATAATGAGTATAACTGAAGTATGTTTCAAGGTGTTTGTGGGACAGACTTTTATTTTATTTTTGGGGATTTTTTTGTTTTTTTTACTCCATAGGACTTTGTTTTGATATACCAATAACAAAATTAGTGTATTTCTTCAGTTTTGAAACATTTAAAATCTCCAAAACTCACCATTGCAACTTTCTCTTTCAACAGAATTGATGCCAACGTAGAAGATGCAGAATTAAATGTTGAAGCAGCCCATTCCGAACTTCTTAAGTATTTTAAGTCAGTTTCATCTAATAGAATGCTGATGATTAAAGTGTTTGGTATAATGATTGTTTTCTTTGTTATTTTTGTTGTTTTTATGGCATAGAATATATGTGATATTAGTATTGTTTATATTGTGAGAGTATGGAATCTTGTTAACACCATAATAGAAAGGTATCCAATAGCTTTGTAAAATATATATTATTATAATAATGAGTATTGGAAATTATTGCCAGTACTTTTAGAAAGTAAAATTCTCCTCCACTTACAATTGTAAGTACCAAAAAGTACTGATGACTGCAGCTCATAAAGGATCAGCAGCGCCTCAAGTGGTACTTGTCCAAAACATAGTTCAGAAAGAAAGTATTGCTAGATATTACCACTAGGTTGGTACTTGAGGTTTCAGCATTATTACTTGGAATGAGCGCTGATATGAATTCCACCCGTAATTTTGGAGTCATTTTCATAACAGTTGTTTAATTGGTACTATGTTGTGAGTTCATAAGTAGAGGACAGTTCTGCAATCAAATATTACAGGCAGTAGTTTCCAGCTCGGATAATGAGTATAACTGAAGTATGTTTCAAGGTGTTTGTGGGACAGACTTTTTATTTTTATTTTTGGGGATTATTATTGTGAATATCAAGTTGTTATATGTCAATTTCCTCTTTTTTTCTTTTTTCTTTTTTCTTTTTTTTCTCTCATTTTTATTATTATTATTTTTTTTATACCTATTCCCTCCTCCTTTCCTTACTATTCTCTTCCCCTTTTTTTCTCTTCATATTCCTCTTATAAAATTCTTGTTCTTGCCTTCCTCTCTCATATTTCAAAACATAAAAACATTTTTTGGTGTGAAAGAACTTGTGAGGAAATAAATTTTATCTTGACACTCTATTGCTTCCATTGCATCATGTATATAATAAAGAATTGCTATTTTTTCCCCCTCTCTCTCTCTCTCTCCCTCTTTTTTTCTTTCCCTCTCTTTTTTTTCTTTTTTGCCTTCCTTCCTTTTCTGAATAACTTGGCAAAAATGCTGGGTTAGTCCCACACCCTTCCATTTGCATTAATTTCTTTTACTCTTCTTTCTGTAAGCTTGATACGGATCCCCTTCCCTTCACCTTGTTATCTAAGACTCCATGGGCAACCTTTCTCTCCTTTTCTTTGTATTATCTTTTCCTGCTATTTTCTATTTCTTTATTTCTGTGTTATTGTTTCTTAGTTTCAAGACCTAGACCTGCCATCTAAAAACAATCGATCAATGTCTCCAACCTTATATCTATTTATTTTTATTAGTGTTTGTGTTCCTCTCCGGTAACAGCTTCCTTTGAAATATTGGAGCCAACAATGAAAATGATCATAATCATAATAATAATATATATTCATTCCAGTTTTTGTATCTTCAAAAGTAATTCTTAATACCAGTAATGATGTCTCGCATGTGCATATTCCCTTTTGTATGTGCAGATACCAACACAAGCCCCATATACCACTCATAAACACTAAACTTATGCGAGGTATCCAATACCTTCCCATGATTGTGAGACAGCAGTAGAAAGAAAAACTCTTAAATTACAGAAAGGAATCATAAAATCTCAACCTTTCATTATGTATACCTGTATATTAAATAGACTGTATTATTTATCACTTATACTGTATATTGCATAGATTCATTTTAGTTAATATATCAGCCATTCCTTGAAAGAAATTTATGAATCACATTTTGAGGATATGGGTTATATTTATGTATATTTCTCTTTTATTATTTCCCTCCAATATATTAAATTCTCTTTCTTTTTTTTTCTTTTTTTCTTTTTTTTTTTTTGCTTTACCAGCCACTCTTTATCAGCTGCCATGGTTGTACAAGCATTATTTATATATGCATGTGTAATAGACATTATAAATACTTTGATTTTATTAATAAACCTGCATATCTTGAGGTCTCGTTTGCTTATCCTATATACAAGATTTTGGCAGAAGTTCCAAAGTATAATGTAAGAATACACACATTATTAAAAGCATTAAGTAAATAAAGGGGCTGTAATTACTGTAGTGAATCAATACCCCTTAGCAAATATTAAACTTGGGGGAAACATCTTAGTCTTAGTCAAGAAACTGTACTTCAGAGAATCTTTATCTTCTGATCTTTAAAAAAAATTAAATATTTCTCAGTTTTATTGATTTCTAAGAGAGTGAAGCTGAATATAAATGTTGAAAGATCTGATGATTGCAAATTGTCTGCCATGTCAATGAAGTCTGAGCTACGTGTTCAAAAAAGCAGAGTATTGAAAGAACTGTTAAAATCAGATATATGTGTGTGTGTGTGTGTGTGTACATATATATGTATATAATTATGTATATATATACATATATAATATACTCTGATATACCCCCTAATCACTTGCTCTTTGTCATGAGGGGACTTGGGAGATGGGGACTGATGCCCTTGTAAGGGGTAACCCCTAACTTGGTCCTCTGCCCTCACCTTAACTAATTTTGTATGTTTTTTTCTTCTCCTCAGCTCCGTCTCTTTACCCTTTTCACTTCCATACTACCCTCTAGTATTGTTCAACTTATAAATTTACCCTAATCATTAACTCATTCCAAATTATACATAAGCAAGGAACTTTCAAATATATATGTTAACTAAGTTACAACAGAATCAAAGGAGTGTACACACTTTACTGGGATTAACCCATTCACCCCACATGGCAAGAATAGATGCCATACCCACTTTGACACATGTTTATTTATTGTATTTACACATAGATGGCACTACAAGTTCTTAATCACCAAATAGCCAGTTATCAAGAACTACCTATTTCACCTGTTTACCCTTTTCCTTCACTTTAGGAAATGTTTTTTTGTATCATTTCATTGTCTAAAATATTCTAATGACAATTTAATAAACATAACATCAATATCATTAATAACAGTATCGATAGCAATGGTATTAATTTTCCCGCCAATTCAATAAATAGGAAAATCAGGTTTGGTAACTAGGGCCTACTGATAGACTCCTTGCCGGCTGAGCACATGTGGAGCCATCTGTATGTAACAGAATTCACCAAAAACTACAGGGGACAGAACATAAATTCGAACTTGCAAGATACTGGCAAGTAACAGGCAGTGCCAAATCTTTCATGTATGAAATATTTACAGAATAGGAACATTTTCCTTTGCACTAATCGACTGAGTGACCACACTATTATTCTAGGAGTTAGTGTTGAGAATTTCCATAGTAGAATAAATTTTATTTTGTTTATTATTTTTTTTGTCTTTTTGCATTTATTATGTAATTTTCTAAGGAATGTGATACCTCATTCTTTCAGGTGGTTACTTCATTGCTATTCTGTGTAATGGAAGATGAAAGATATTCCTCAAGTCAGTGGAAAAAGAGAGATTAGCCCTGTTTCAATAAAGATCATGAACATGGAAATGTAACATTAAGTCTATGATTATTAATTAGTTGTATCTACACACACACACACACACACACACACACACACACACACACACACACACACACACACACACACACACACACACACACACACACACACACATACATTATACAATATACTGTATGCATACCACGTGGTGGCCACGCCAAGCCACCCAGCGAAGCGTCACCCACGCCGCCCAAGCGTGGCTTGGGGGAACGCGACCTACCCTCGTCTCCTAGCCAACACTCGGATATTTAAGGCCTGCAGGTGACCCCTGTAGGCAGAGTGTTCTGTGCCACGGCGAGGTCACGTCTGACAGCGTGGCCAGGTTGCCGTTTGGCAGGGCTCGCCATCTGACCAAGCCTTGTCATTTTTGTGTTATCAACTCTTTATCAATTAAGGGTTTTAAGCCACCAAGCTTTTACTACTCCCTGTCACCAATGTTTAGAGGTCCTTCCCTTGACTCTTACACACATACACATACACACACACATTCACTCACTCACTCACTCACTCTCTGAACATGAACATGAACTAATCATTAGCTGATCCAATTGTCACATCAAAATTGATCAGATGCCTCGTTTCATTATGCTCTTTATTAAGTTCTTGTTTTAGTCCTACAATTTACAGAGCAGTTAGATATCTGGTATAATTTTAATATGTGTTAGTTAAATATGAATGCCCCATTTATTTATTGGTGTTTCTACTTTTACTGTAATGGGATACAGGAACTTATTTTGCAGTTATACTGATGGTCTGATATAACTTTCTTTTCCACTTTTACTTTTGTTGAAAATCCTTTCCTGTCTCTGACTCACTCTCTCTCTATCTCTCTGTCTCTCTATCTCTCTGTCTCTCACTCACTCACTCACACTCCACTCACTTACTCACTCACTCATTTACCCCCCACACTTTCTTTCTCCCTCTCTTACATAAATATACATATATAAATATATATACAATATGTGTGTGTGTGCGTGTGCGTGTGCGTGTGTGTACATATATGTATATAATTATGTATATACATACATATATAATATACATATATATACATATATACATATACATACATATGTATACATATACATACATATATATACATATAAATACATATATATACATATATATATAAATACACACAGACGCATATTAGTGTCATATTCAAAATATAGCGATAGTGTGAGGTTTGGGAGGTAAAGTTCCCCAAACCTAACACTAAGAAAGTAGTGAAAAGGGTTAGGAATAACTTAAAGATTAGGGCAAAATTACTGTTTGAAAAGTACCAGAGGGTAGTATGGTAGTGGAAAAGGCAGAGAGGGGGAGCTGATGGGGCATAGCATAAAAGGTTGTTAGAAGGGGGAGGAGTTAAGGGAGTAAGGAGCATAAGAAGAAGAAGAAGAAGAAGAAGAAGAAGAAGAAGAAGAAGAAATGTGCCAAAAAGGGAAGGAGTTAACAATAAGAACAAGGAAAGGAGAAGAAAAGACCATACAAAATTAGTTCAGGCAAGTACAGAACAATAAGAAAGGGATTGAATGGAGGCTTTGTTAATTTTCAATTTAATGAAATTCTTGAGTAAATCATTGATTTTACTTTGAATTACTATTTATCATATTTTAGCTGAAGTAACAGTACAGATTCTTTAATATCCAAATGGTTTGAAGATAGACAACAAATTTCAATCCAACCGCCCTGGATTTATGTTCTGCCCCCTGTAGTTTTTTCGTGAATTTTTTTATATACAGATGGATCCACCACCAAGGAGTCTATCAGTGGGCCCTAGTGACTGATCCTGATTTCCCCATTCCTTGAATTAGCAGGAAAATGTGTTTTTCTTTTTAATACAGTTGATATTGATACTGTTATTGTTACTAAATTGTTATTAAAATCTCAGTAACATGGAAGACGATGAAATAATGCAAAAGCCCCTTTCCAAAAGTCGAGGAAAAGCGTAAAAAGGTGAGATAGTTAGGAATAATAATTGACTTCCTTGTGACTAAGCACTTGTAGAGCCATCTATGTGTACATACAATAAACAAACTTGTATTACAGTGGGCATGGCATGTATTCTTGCCATGTATGCCAACTGGGTTAAAAAGCTGGAAAACAGACAATGCTCAACTTTGGAGCCTTACCACAGCTTCCAGCAAAAATGTATTTTGAAATCAGATAAAATGAATGAACGTATTAAACATACATATATATACATATATATACATATATATACATATATATACATATATATACATATATATACATATATATACATATATATACATATATATACATATATATACATATATATACATATATATACATATATATACATATATATACATATATATACATATATATACATATATATACATATATATACATATATATACATATATATACATATATATACATATATATACATATATATACATATATATACATATATATACATATATATACATATATATACATATATATACATATATATACATATATATACATATATATACATATATATACATATATATACATATATATACATATATATACATATATATACATATATATACATATATATACATATATATACATATATATACATATATATACATATATATACATATATATACATATATATACATATATATACATATATATACATATATATACATATATATACATATATATACATATATATACATATATATACATATATATACATATATATACATATATATACATATATATACATATATATACATATATATACATATATATACATATATATACATATATATACATATATATACATATATATACATATATATACATATATATACATATATATACATATATATACATATATATACATATATATACATATATATACATATATATACATATATATACATATATATACATATATATACATATATATACATATATATACATATATATACATATATATACATATATATACATATATATACATATATATACATATATATACATATATATACATATATATACATATATATACATATATATACATATATATACATATATATACATATATATACATATATATACATATATATACATATATATACATATATATACATATATATACATATATATACATATATATACATATATATACATATATATACATATATATACATATATATACATATATATACATATATATACATATATATACATATATATACATATATATACATATATATACATATATATACATATATATACATATATATACATATATATACATATATATACATATATATACATATATATACATATATATACATATATATACATATATATACATATATATACATATATATACATATATATACATATATATACATATATATACATATATATACATATATATACATATATATACATATATATACATATATATACATATATATACATATATATACATATATATACATATATATACATATATATACATATATATACATATATATACATATATATACATATATATACATATATATACATATATATACATATATATACATATATATACATATATATACATATATATACATATATATACATATATATACATATATATACATATATATACATATATATACATATATATACATATATATACATATATATACATATATATACATATATACCATAGAAATGAACTTGTTTATACAATCATTTATATCATATAATATCTAAAGTTCCAACACTTTACTCGGAACTACTGCTGATATTTATTTACTCAATACTTTCTGCTGCGTCAACATCTAAGGTCATTAGCAGCATATTCAAAATATAGTGATACCCTAAGGCTTGAGGGCTTTTGGCACTACGGTAAAGCAGAGTAGCAAAAGGGGTTAGGAATGAGTTAATGATTAGGGTTAAGTTACAGGTTGCACAGTACTAGAGGGTAGTTTGGTAGTGAAAAAGGTGGAGGGCCTATAGCATAAGGTGAAATTGTTAGAAGGGGGAGTTAAGGGGGTAGGGAACATTATGATATATTGTAGTACTGAGGCAAAAATAAGTTTAACAATTAGGATAAGTGGAGAGAACAAAGGGATGAAAAAGGGGAAAGGAAAGGAGAAGAAAAAAACATGCAAAATCAGTTGAGCCAAGGGCTGAGGACTTAGGTTGAGGTGATCCCCTATATTCAGCCTCATGGCCATATTATAAAAACACAGGTGCAGGCCCCGCAATGCAGTCCTCAGGGATGAGTGCACACTTTCGCAATCCATATTAATAAACCACTAGGGTAAGCCCCTTCCATGGGGTCTTCTGTGGGGTCAGTTGGCACGACTAATGCTGGCTTAATTACAATTTAAGGCAAAATTTATTGTCAATTTTGGGGGGGAAAATATTGAAATGTCAACGGTCACATTCACAATCGCTCTCAAACCTTTTGATCGTAAGGGAGAATTCAGGGGTACCAACATGATTTCATTATTAATGAATCAACCAGTACTGCATATTTCTTATTTTCTGACTCGTGACAACTCTCTTGCCTCAGTGTTTTAATCCACCTAACCTAAATCTAATTAAATGTAGCCGATTTTGGATAGATGTAGAAATTTCACTGCTATATGATAACAAACCTAATAACTCCCTGAAACACACACACATATAATGTGTATTTATGTATATACTGTATAAACTTTTATATATATACAAGTTTATATACATAGGCCTACACACATGAAGGCATTGCATTTTGTTAATTCAAACTTACATCTATAACACAAGCATAGACATATTATAACCCAATACCGATGGGCATGACATGAACATACGTACTATGCCCACTGAGAGTAATCGTTTGATTGTTTTTACACAAAGATGGCAACACTTGGACTAAATCACTAATGAGCCAGTTACGAGTACTGCCCGTCTTGCCCATTTACCCTTCTCTTTGATTTACGAAATATTTTACGTAATCTTATTTTGTTGTTACTAATGTTAAACATTATAATTGTTTATAATAAAAAAAAAAACAAAAAAAAAAACACCATCGATATTCACAGCACTAGTAAAAAATATGTTTTTCCCACCATTTCAAATAAGGTACGGTCACAAGGTCTACTAATTGACTCCTCCGTGGCTAAGCACTAGCAGAGCCATCTATGGGCAGACATTTCAAAAAAATATAGAAAATAGGCACATTGGGTTAATGCACTCTACCAAACAGTTGTTGTGATATATCAATATTTATGTTATAGATGAAAATTTAATTTAACAAAAAAGAGAATGCTGTAGTAATTTTAACTGCCAAAACTAACTTATATTCACCATCATAGTAAAAGTTGTTATTAATAACGTTTGTAAATGGTTTTTAACACTCATGTTTTAAGGATACTGATTTGTATCAAAGTCACACATGTTGAGGTGTATTGAAGATATAGCAATGTGATATATCTATTGTCAATAATGATTATCTTCTGTCGGAAGTTGAAGATCAAAATTATATTTCTCTCTTTGGTGAAATTTACAAAAGTAAAATATTGGGATAAAGGAAATATAGTACACTAATAGCTGGAGGTGTGGTATATATTTACATTTTATTATATAAGATTTTTCCAAAGATTCAAAACAAAACTTTCTCTGGTATCTCGGAGTACCATTTACACACTAACCAAAAAAAAAAAAAGGTATTCACAAAGTGATTTCCTTCAATCTAACTAGCTTTTCTGCAGGGAGAGATCACTCCATGGCTCCAGAGGTAAACAAGCAGTGAGGTATGAGTGGGTTCTTCCGGAATGTGTGCAGTCAACTTGCCATGCAGGGACCTCTCAAAAGCCCTGGATGAATGAGCACGAGCAGGACATGGACACAACTTAATCCAAACTGCCGGACTGGCTTACTGCAAATCAAGCCTACGTCAGAGAGATGTCACAGTTGGCACTTTTTTTTGTTTGTTTTAGGTATCTTTTAATTTTTTTTCTTCTCTTTTTTTTTTTTTGCACCATCTGTTTGCAGCTCACTAACACCTTTTTCTCACTTCTTTGACACAAGTCTGATGATTATAACTGGAGTATGTAAAAACTAAGCCACAGGAGACAGGAAGGAGAAAAAAATATAAATAAAAAAAAGTTTTAATTCTTTTCAAAATTAAGGAATATTGCAATTAATGAGCCTAATCATAATCACATGAATTACATCAATAGAATAAAAAAAATATATGAAACAGTTTGTAACTAATCCTAACGCTTTCCATTATTATAGTTGACTGCACGCATGGGAGCCTTGAAGCTAGCAGCTGACTGCTGCTGAATTTGGTATGCCATTGGGTGAATCTTGAAGCCATAAAGCCTTGGTACGAATTGGTTGGTGGGCCGCTTGGGCCGGTATTCTGGATGGACCATGAAGAGCATGTGAGGGAAGCCAGTACCGAAGTAAGCGCCATCTATGTGGTGGTGGCGAGAGGACTTTGGGGTGTAGACGTCACAGCATTTTGGACAGTACAGCTTCACCATGGCCTCTCCTGGGACATCACTTAGACCAATGGGCAGCATTGGCTGGGGGGCAGAAAACAAAACTTGAAGACTGTCTGCCTGCAACAAAATTATGTAAATACTGAACATAAGAGTACACCCATTAATAGAATCACTCACCCTTGTGTTGATTCTTAAACAAAATAAAACAAAAATATGAAATGAAAATTATCATAAAAATACAACATTTAACTACAAAGTAAATATTAAGAAAAGAACCATCAAAATTATATGACCAATGAAAAGTCACAATTTACATACAAGGCATTTAAAATTTTAGCTTAGAATTTCTTGTTATACAAAGACAACAAATGACACACAAACACCCCCCACCCCACCACCACTACAAGTAAAAAATAAAAGTAGGGGCCAGAGAATCCACATTAGAAAATGAATAATGACAAATAAAATGACTA